ATCAATTCCTGGGCTTCAGTCATTTATTGTCTATTTATCAATTAAAAAACGTTTCGGTGTTTTCCACCATCATCAGTTTTTGAATAATAATAATAATAATAATCTGTCTCTCGAAAGACAAATTTACGGTTTCAAGAAGGCAAAGACCTAAAAGAACGTTGATTTTTACCAATCATGAGTTTGTGTAAATTTTAAATCTGATGATGGCGCTGTTGTCTCGCCGAAACGTAATGACAAAATTTTTACTTCACACTTTGACTGACACCCAGGAAAGAATAAGAATGTGAAACACTATCTGTTACTTAAAATTTTACTTTTTCGCAACAATTATGATTGGAAGGAGGAAGCAGTAGGAAGACTTGTAGATCTTGTAGGGTATCCTCGGAACGCTGATAAATCCACTTCGATGATATGTATTTCTGGTGAAAGTGATTGTTTTGTACATTTTCCTCGAATTTTCCCTCACTATGGCTGGGAAACGTTATCAGTGCAGCCCACATACAAACGCACTGCCTGCTATCAGCTGTGCAGGGCGCATGTGGGCCATTTACATACATCAACCAGCAGTTGATTAAAAACTAATCTGTTTAAGTGGGTTCCCACATGATCCTCGAAAAACTGATAACGTCAATGTGGGTACATGGAAATTGCGTGCGTGCCGAAACGCCCACCCGACAACAACAAACTGAAGCTCAAACTAGGTTACACGCACGGACGATGAAAACTCGGTTTCGGTTACATTTCGGTGTAAATTGGAACAGTTATTTAAAACTGATAACTGTTAGTTCCCCAGGCCAGGTTTTGATTGGGCTTCTAGATTAGTTATTGCGCCAGCAGAGAGTATCAACACCCATGCGCCGTAGGGTTATGCAACACCATAACCAGAAGAAGAATCGGCAGAGATCGATTCCGATCATTAGGCCATTTAAACGATGGAAAGTTGCACTGATTGCATCGAACTTTCGCGTTTGCCATTAAACCTAATTCTGCTACTACCAATGATCATTGCTGATATCCGGTGATAGGGATAAGATCTGCTTCGGCCTAGTTTGCAGTGTCGTTCGTCTCTCCAACGCAACAGAAACTTTTGCATGTGTGCTACAGCAGTGGCAGTTTCGAGCCGGCTTCTAAACGCACAATTGACTGCGACCGCAAAAGTTTTCCTTTCTACGGCACCTTGAGATAATGAGAAAGTGTTCTACTTAGTAGTACCGCAATTAAACAACAACATAATTAATGATATCCAACTCATTTCGCTGAATATTCGCCGGTTGATTTCAATTAACATTAATCAATCGACATTTGCCATGTGAGGCAGTTTCACTGTGCTAATCAAAGGTTTCCTTGCAACGCTTGCTCTTGATCAGCAGTCTGCATCCTTAATTAAGGCAGTTCACTCTTAAATGGTGAAGGAAGTGGATCATCCAGGTGATGGAAAATCACACGAATACACTTAAATTCATTGCCAGTTTTACTCAACTAGCTGAGTGGTCGGAAGTCGAGAGTCGCAAAATTCAATTAAACCGAGCCTAGAAACCAATCAACGTAAATGACTTGTGAATGTGCATTCAGAAAAATTCAATGTGAACTAAACGATTGGAATTGAGTAGAATTCATTGAGGATTTTACTGCACTAACTGGAAAATTGACTACCAATAGGCAGATTTTAAGCGTTTTTTGAGCGTTCGCGATCTTTAACCGACGATTTCTGCCTTATTATTGACCCAAACGCTTTATATGCATATTTGTGACCTTCTTGCGTCGAAAGGAAGCGATTGAGCTCAAAAAACACGCATGTGAAATTTTGATTTTTGGTCGAAATTTTTCCAAGGGTGGGGGTCGATTTTTCGAAAAAATTAAAATTTTCTCTAAACGTCTTCAAATTTACATCATTTTCCCCTCACAGACGCCAGGAATGCATGAAACGCATTGGAAAACATGCTAGAAGTTTCAGATCCGAAATAATCGACATTTTCGGCACATTTTAAGCGTTTTTTGAGCGTTCACGATCTTTAACCGACCATTTATTTGTTATTATCGACCCAAACACTTTATAAATGCATATTTCTGACGTTCTTGCGTCGAAAGGAAGCGATTGAGCTCAAAAAACACGCA